GAGCACAAATGGAGCATTCTGGTGTTGTGGTGGCGGCTACCTCTTCGTGGTCCTACCAGGCTACGTGGCGGTGGATACATTGCTGCGGCTAAAAGCCGTTCCGAAAGCTTAAGATACCGTGCCTAGCATAGTCCAGAATAATGGTACCTATTCACGGTCGCAAGGCTATGGATGGGGTTAGCCATTCTGAGGGTAAATTTAAATATTGGGATAATAGCTTTCCAGCTTTCTTGAAGGCGGCCCTAGACGAACGATATGTTTGGGGAAGCAGCCGTAAAGATCCTGGACTATTGACGCCGACCCTCTGTGGTTGTATGAACACTCTGAATCTCGGTGTATTGTGTGAACTGGCGTCGAGGCCCCTTAAACAAGGGTCTCAAGTTGGGTTACGTGATTCGGTGCTGAAGTGTACTGGACGCCAATGATGTCTGCCCACTTCTGTGGGATTAACCCCAGCCTGGCCGGGTGCTTGCACTTGGTCGAGTTCATGACATCTTCCTCATGGAAAGGTGTACGTTCCGGCTGACCTTGTGGGACAAACTCGATCTTTAGCTTCATGTGGGGTCTGAGGGCTCCAGTCGATTGTATCAGCGCAAGGCATTTGGAGGCCAGACGGTTGGAATAGCTGCTGGTTAGTGCACTGCTTGGTGGCTCGGTAATCCGTTCGTGGCTCTAGGTCTAGCTGGGAAAGCCCTCCTTGCCGCCATTGGGATTGTGGGTAGTGGATTGGTTGGAGGGATCTTGCTGTTTCATAAGTACCCAAACGGAGGTCACTGTTTGTGCGCCTGTTTTTTTCTTGTCTACAAACCAATCTAGACAACATGTACGTTCCCATATGGGGCAGGGGTGATCGCAATATTGGCTCTTGTGAGAATCCTTTTGTTGCTTAGAATGCAGTGGCGTGCATGTGCAGAAGGCATGCTGGTTAACCAAGAATATAGTTATGTTCACTGTGCAGTGAGTGATACACTATACATATTCACAAACTATATAGAAAGCAGTTCGATGTTCAATACTTCTACAGTGGATGTCAGTCGGTATTGAAAACTATCTATATGTATTTAATAACCTAAGAAAAATAATAAACATTAACATGTCATCATCATCATTGACGAGCAAGGTGGATCTGATGGAGATGTGAATGTGAGCATTAGAAAAGCAAAGGGAGCATTTCTATGATTGAAGAACATTTGTAACTCAAAAAAAAACTATCAACAAACACCAAAGTTAGAATTTTCAATACCAATGTCTAGACAGTTCTACTGTATAGAGTGGAAACTTGGAGAACTACCAAATCCATCATCCACTAGATACAAGTGTTTATTAACAGTTCTCTACGCAAAATACCTCTCATCCACCGACCAGACACCATCAGCAACAGCCTACTGCTGGAGAGAAAAAACCAAATTCCAGGAGAGGAGGAAATCAGAAAGAAGCGGTAGAAGTCGAAGAAGTAAGAAAATCACCCAGCTGTTTCACAAGACAAAGCCCTCACTTGGAATCCTCAAGGCCAAAGGAAAAGAGGTAGACCAAAAGAACACATCACGTTGAGAATTGGAAGCAGATATAACAAGAATGAAAAACAATTGGTCAGAATTACAAAAGGAAGATCCAGAACAGAGTAAGTGAGAAAATTGCTGGTCAGTGGCTTATGTTCCATAAGGACTAACAAGCGTAAGTAACTATTAGTTTTCGGATATGCTGGAATTCGCCTAAGTTGAACGCCATAAGACCACTAGAAAAATGACCAACTCATTGTGTGGTGCGAGCTACTTATAAGTAGTATATGACGTGAGTATCAACCTAATGTCTGGCAGCAGAAGATGAGGGAAGATCAAGAGAGGAAGAAGAGTGGGAACACAATGGAATTTGTATGAAACGCATGAACAGTGAGTGAAATGTCAGACAATGGATTGATGATGGATTGAAGATTTGCAAATTAACTGTTTACGATATGGTTTTCCTATTTTACTGAGTAACTCTGTAATTTTCATTAAATACAATTCGGTTGCCCAATCTGTGTTCTCCTTCACTATAATTGGTTTGAAAATTCAGAACTGAAAATCCATCAATTAAAAGTCTTAAATGATGATTTCGTTTTTTTCGAAACCAAACACAACAATAGTGAATTGATCAAGTTAGACATTAACACCGTTAGATACCGGCTCAGTGGTCCGATGGTTAGGCGTTCGCCTACAATGCCGAAGGTCCTGGGTTCGAATCCTGCGAGGTGCAGGAGGAGTCGTGGATGCGCACTGCCACTGATGATGAGTCCCATACCAGGACGAAACGTCTGTCTTTCAGTGCTTCCAGGTTTCTATAACGGTGGTCTAATAACATTGATCGATTCATGGTTTCAAAAAAAAATGTATAACTTAACAACAATAGTTGTCTAATATTCACAATGGATGTTAATAATTTTTTTGTCCAGTTAATGTTTACTTGTGATCATCTTTAACAAACTTGAACAATTAACATTGTACTTACCCCCTATTTCATACTAATAAATTACACTTGTCAAAAAATAAATGTTTAGAGCAAAAGAAGATAAAAGAGGCCATATACGAAGAAGATTTACAAAAACCATTGATCTTTTGTGATCCAGATCAGACAATGAACTTTATTCAATGTATGCGAAGATTCTATTGTTTATAAAGACTCCAATAAAAGATCAAAAGTAATTGATTATCATGAATCCGATAATCATTTGATTGTCATAGCTCTGTACAGACAATAAGATAAGACCATGACATTCGAATAGTCAGTCGCCTATTGTTTCAATAAACGAACTCCTTTAATTACAGCGAGTAAGGGAGAGGGAGACAGAACAATACTCAAGGTGTACATGATAAATTCACTGCTGTTATTGTTCATTTGTTCGAAACGAATAAACAAACATTTACCATTCAATGAATTTATGTTTGTCTTGTTTTGTATTTTTGAGAACTTATGGTCAAGTCACTTTCTCCAGTATCTATGCTTATTAAACTTATTCACTGTGTGTGTGTCAGTCATTCAAAAGAAAAACACAATTTGTCATCTGGTAATATTTTCGATTAGAATTTTTCTTTTCTTTTCTTTGCTGTCTGTCTATCTATTGTGTGTCTGTCTATCTCGCTATTCATGATATATGTGTCTCTTAAAGTAGTCAATTGTAGTTCTTTTTATATTCGAAATGATTAATGGTATTCTATTAGAAAAAAGGTTTAACAAATAGCAGCCTATTATTATTGTTGTTTTAAGTGATGATAATCATAAATTGAATTTTGATCATTCTTTGTTTATTTATTATAGTTGTTGGTGACTCATTTTGTACGGATCACTATTATTAACTTTGTTTTTTTTATGGTTCTCGAGATTGAATGAATTGTGATCAGTAGTATTGGAGAGGAAACTTGGAGAACTACGAAAGCCATCATCCAGAAGATACAACTGTTTATGAATAGTTGTTTACGCAAACTACTGAGGATTCGTTGACCACACAGCATCAGCACTAACTTACTGTGGGAGAGAACAAACCCGATTCTAGTGGAGGAGGATTTCAGGAAGAAGTGGTTGAAGTGCATATGACACACATTACGAAAAGTACCCAAATGCGTCACGAGGCAAGCCCTCACATGGAACCCTCAAGGTAAAAGGAAAAGAGGAAGGCCAAGGAACACATTAAACCGAGAAATAGAGAAAGATATGAGAGTAATGAACAAACATTGGACAAAACTGAAGAGGAAAGCCCAGGACAGAGTTGGTTGGAGAAAACTGGTGAGCGGCCTATACTCCATTGGGTGTAACAAGCGTAAGTGAGTAAGTAAGTAAGTAAGTAAGTAAGTAAGTAAGTAAGTAAGAAAGTATTGGAATGCCCCTTATTGCCTATGTATTTGGATTTTTGTGTTGATTTAGGAAAAATTGTAGGATCCAGGTAGATTCGAACGAACTAGTCTTAGATATGAAATGACAGTTGATAATTTGCAAAAGAAAACTTCTCATCATCAATCGTTAATATATTAGATGCAAAACTGTTCAAAGTAGTGGAGTACTGTTTAGTTGGTTTCTTTGTTTACTATAGAACCACTAGTCAACTGTTTACACATTAAGTTGAGAAATAGAGACAGACATGAGAAGAATGAATAACGATTGGACAGAACTAGAACGGAAGGCTTAGGATAGAGTAGGAGGCAGAATCCTGTTTGGCGGCCTATTCTCCATTGTGGGTAACAGGAGTAAGTAGGTAAGTAAGTAAGTAAGTAAGTAAGTGCGTGAACGCCTAACCATCGGACCACTGAGCCGGTATCTAACGTTGTTAATATGTCACTTGATCAATTCATGGAGTTGCGCAACCTCATACACAGTCTTCGGTAGTAGTTATTGTCTACACCCGAACAAGTTGAACTTCACTGGTCACGTCTTCCCACTAGAACTCATGGGAGAAGATTCCTCATGAAGCTAGTCACTAGTGAGCACAGGTAATTTGCATTACGGGCTTGTTGTGAACAGTGTTAAGTTACACACTTTGTTAGCTAATATTACTCTCCTTAATAATAAAAATTCATTTAAACTTATCAATAATCATATCTCTAAATAGATCTAAATGGATTTTTTAATCGTTCTGTTTATATTCATGCTATTCAGTGTTTTTCGTTTTAAAAATATCCAGTGCATATTTCTCTATAACAAATATATATACACGTATGTCTTCCGACTGAATAATACACGATACAGTAAGCGCTTAAATGGATTTTATTTTTCTCTCTAAAAAAAAGTAATACACGTGATTTGAAAAACACATCTCATAAATTGCTTCGTTCTGTGTGTTTTTGCCGCATTTCTCTCTCTCTCTATCTCATTCACCTCGATTTTAGTTACTTATTTACAGTCTATCTGCTTCAATATATATGCTTTGTATGTGTTTTGTCGATTAACTGAACTGACACAGGTAGTGGATTGCAATCGAAACTAGATAAATAGGCCTATTAACAAGTTAAAATAACACATCATGTTACTGTTTATAATTTGAATTTATTATTAGTAGTATGATTATTATTATTATTATTATGATTATTATTATTAATATTATTACTATAACGGAATACATAACATCCGTAAATTTCCTGTACGCATGGCTTGTATTTATCTGCTGATCAAAAAATCTGATTAGTGTTCACAATCGAATGTACGAATGTTTATGAAATATATAAACAGATATATATATATATATATATATATATATATATATATATATATATATATATATATATATATATATATATATATATACAAACACCCACTCACTCATGCACTCATACACATACACACACATACATTTTGACGACATAAACTGAGAGAAAAAAATACGTGTGAAATTTCTTGTTTGTTATTTTTACGGGATGTTATTCAGCGAATCGATATACAAAAATCTATTGTTGTTGTGTAATTGTTATTTCTGTAGAATTCGGATACAAAAACAAACTAGAAACGACAATTTTACTAATGTAAACATGTTCGTCGTTTTCGACCTCGCTCCACTTGATTTTGTCATTAATGATTACAAAGCTTGTTTGTTTAAGAAAAAAACAAACAACATTAGCATATAATAAGTAATTTTGTTTTCCTAGAAATGCTTGTCAATCATATGTGTAAAACATGTCAACATGGCCAATTTTATAAATAATGTAAAGATGATGACTGTGTGCGCACTCTCTCTCTCTCTCACCTTCTTCTCGCATGGTATGTTATTCAGGCGATGGTAATTAAATTGGTCAAAATCAGGAACGAGTTGTATAAGGGAAAAAATTCACGGCAAGCGAAAATAAACTAGTTTACATTGAAATTATCATCAGCATTAGATATCTGGAAGTACTAGACGGCCGTTTCGTCCTGGTATGGCACTCGTCAACAGTGCTCTCCCACGACTCCTACCACTCGTAGGACTCGAACCCATGATGACCTTTAGCGCGAACACTTAACGTCTGAGCCACAGATTACCCTTAGACAACCAGTGACAATCTGTGAACGTGTTACTCAAATTATAATGTATTATCTTTACGCATATGCATATACAGCGTTGTCCTTTCTTGAGTCGCTGTTCTATTTGTAGATAATGAAGTAGATTTTGGACAAATATGTCTAATGCTTCTTGATTTTCAATGTTTTCTCAACTATGCTCAGTCCCGCATATATGAAATGATAGAATGTGACAATTTGTGCATAACCCAGTGCTAAAAACAAAATATTCAAATGTTATTTATCTCTTTGTTTTTTTCTCTAGAAAAATACGAGAGAATTAATCTCACATTTGTGTATGTTCATTTAAAACATCTACAAGACAGAATGAAATAGAGATAGATGTTGTCTAGCAATGGTATCCAAATCTGCATCTACTTGTTGTATCTCACAGTTCGATGTTCACTCTGGGACTCGAACCCTGTACCATTTGCTTCAAACGCTACTGTGTTATCTATCCATCTAACTACTGACTTCAGAACAGCAACTCGCTTGTTTGGACAGAATGGGATGACGTTGATGATGATGAAGTTGAAGATGATGATGATGACGACAATGATGATCAGTCATTTCATCTGGCCTTACCGCCTTCGTTCACTTGATTATTATGTGACTTTAAAGAAGTACTCATCCACAACCTCACATCCAGGAATCGAACTCAGGAAATACGGTTCAGTGTATGAATATTTAACCTCCAGACCACTGAACAGTAGGTGGTATCCAATGATGATGTTGCATAACCTTCAACTAGCTATGATTAATTCATGATTTAAATTCAGAGAATTCTGTAGTCTATTGAATAAATCACCGTACAATAAAAATGTCATATCAGCTTATGACTTATATTTATGCTTGATGAATAAACAATGTAAAGTAATTCCCGACCGAAGCTGCTACCTTGACGTGGTGGTCGGGCTTGCCTATCGTGATGACCTAACCGAGCTATATTGGCTGAAACATATGTTCCTGAAGGTCCTACCATGCCAGACAGGTCGATTGGAGAACGATGAGACTAAAAGCAGCAACCCAGGATCTGAGGGCGAAGTCGTACTGCTGACTGCAGAGCGGTGTGACAGCAATAAGGTGTTTCCCTCGGACAACCAGCATCTGCAGCGATGCTGCCTTCTCACAAAGAAGGAAGGGTTAGGAAAGGTCGACCCCAAAATGTCACACATCACCCTACCTCACGGATTTCCATCTCCGTCGGTAAGGGTGCCCACTAAGGGCTTTCAAGAGCGGAGCTAACACTCAAAAATCTTCTCATCAAAAGGCCGTGCGTGACCGGCCTCAAGCAGTTGTCCCTTGGGCTCTGCGGTCACGCTCCCAGGTCTCTAAGACCGACACTAACCCAACTCCTTTTTCAGGTTCCTCGAGAAACACCCACGGTGTGGGCGACCTGGAAGTGACAACCGCCCTCATACCTGTAACAACACACGAGACCAAATTGGTCAAAATCAAATCCTTCCTACACCCCCTAATACCTCTCTTATCTCCACGACTAACTCTTCTCACATTCATTTATCACAGTGCACAGCTAATGCAAACGATGCAAGTTCGCGAAACGTCGTTCCTGGTCTCCTTAAACCCCGTTCTAAACTACATGTTGGAGCATTTAATGTACGGACATTGTGTCAAATAGGGCAACAGGCATCATTAGCTAGGACTTTAGAATCTCGTGCCATCGATGTGTGCTGCGTCTCGGAAACGCGCATACAAGATCCGAGTAGCATCATTCACTTGACCTCACCATGTCAAGATAAAGAAGCAGCTCCATTTACCCTTCGTGTATCCGGTAGCCTTGATGCTGCTTCCCGGGGTCTCGCTGTTGTTGGTTTAGCTTTGAGTCGTAGGGCAGAACCATCTCTCCTAGACTGGATCCTTGTAGATAGACGCTTGTGCGCTGTCCGACTAAACGGGACAGTAAGGATTCGAAAGGATAGGGACACTCGTCGTTGCCTCTTCGTCATATCAGCCTACGCCCCCACTGACTGCAGTTCAGACGACGTAAAAGATGAGTTTTACAGAAAGCTTTCGGACCTCCTCCAAAAAGTTAGGCACTATGATATAGTTATAATGGCTGGCGACTTCAATGCCCAAGTAGGTATACTAAGTGAAAATGAAAGACAACTGGGTGGATGTTATGGTGTCGCGGCTCAAAGAACAGACAATAGCGACCGTCTGTTTAAACTGTTCTCAGATAACCAACTATTTCTAGCAAACACTGATTTTAAGCATAAGGAAAGACATCTTTTGACCGGGCGACCTCCGAAGTCCTCTCAACGTTGGACGTAACTAGATCATATCGCCATCAGCCACGGATGGAGGGGTTCGATAGAGGACTGTCGCTCGTTCTGGGGCACATGTTTAGATTCAGATCATGCCCTAGTGCGAGCTCGTATTTGTTTGAGGCTTACTGGACGTAGGAAAGACAGCGCGAGGAAGCCTCTTAGGGCTTTACTTGATGATAATCAAGCTAAGAAAATCTATCAGGAGGAACTAGAAAAACAGTTAGGCGACCATGTAAGTGATCCCCATCCGGAGTCAGGTTGGAATGATATCAAGAATGCTATGGAAACAGCAGTGATATCTGCTAGCAAGGTAAACCATAAGGCTAGGATGAAGCCGTGGATTCCAGTCGCATCCACCGAACTGATTGATGCTCGAAAACGCATCCCACCTGACTCTGAACATGACGAAGAGCGTAGTCAGCTTAGGCGCAGACTTATAAAAAGCCTACGTAACGACCATGAACAGTGGTGGGTGGCGAAAGAAAAAGCGATGGAAAAGGCAGCGTCGATAGGCAACACTAGACAATTTTTCCGCCTTATTAAGGAAACCGGTATTAGGAACCCGAATGTGAGTGAGACTATTTCGGAAAAGGATCGTCTTATTATCCATTCTCAATCCAGGAGACTGGACCGATGAGCAGAACACTTTAGTTATCAGTTCAACTGGCCTCGAGCCACTCTTCGGTTGCCCACGATCTCCAGTCATCCTGAATGGCAAATCGATTTAAGTCCTCCCACTCTACATGTAGTTGAGAAAGCTATAGGAAATCTAAAGCGAAGTAGAGCAGCAGGTCCCGATAGGCTTACCCCTGAGATGTTTAAGTATGGTGGTCCAGTTTTAACAGTTAGACTGAACGAGATCCTAGGTAGAATCTGGGAAATGGACGTAATCTCATCTGACTGGTCTCAGTCGCTAATCGTCCCAATCTATAAGAAAGGACAAAAGTCCTCTTGTAACAATCACAGGGGAATCAGTCTGATCAGTATAGTGTCTAAATTGTTAGCCTCGATTATACTTAAATGTCTAACTAGAGCTCGTGAAGAGCAGACTAGAGAAAACCAGACTGGTTTCAGACCCGGACGTGGTTGCATAGACCACATTTTCACACTACGACAGGTCCTGGAACACATACATACATTTAGACATCCTACAATAGTCGTGTTCCTGCACCTAAAAGCGGCATTTGACTCAGTGGATCGTGAGGTTCTGTGGCAGTGTCTGTCATTGAAAGGTGTACCAAAGAAGTACATTAACCTTATACAGGCTCTTTACTCGAACACGACTGGTCGGGTGAGAGCTTATGGCGAACTGTCACCGGAATTCACTACTTCAAGTGGTGTCTGTCAGGGATGTCCACTCTCTCCATTTTTGTTTAACTTTGTCTTTGATATGCTTTTAGAGGTTGACCTTCTAACAGGAAAGTCGCTTACTGATCTAGAATATGCCGATGACATAGTTCTATTCGGTGAAGATGCTGACAAAATGCAGAGTCTTCTGACTACCATAAACAACAATGCAAGCATATTCGGGAAGCGATATTCCCTCTCGAAATGCAAAATGTTGCTTCAAGATTGGTTTTCATCGGCACCTGAACTAGTGATAGGGAGTGAAGTAGTCGAACGTGTAGACCGCTTCACTTATCTTAGGAGTCTCATCAGTGCTGATGGCCTGGTGACTGACGAAATCTCGGCACGGATACAGAAGGCTCGATTGGCTTTTGCCAACTTGCGTCACTTATGGCGTAGGCGAGATATCTGTTTGCTAACCAAAGGACGGGTGTACTGCGC